TCAACCTGGGCAGGAGTGGTCTTGAGCCACGCCGGGGCGGTGCGGCTGTAAGGCAGCGCGGAGGCTGAGATACCCTTTCCGTTGGAGTGAAGACGACCCATTTTGGCGGTTGTTGTGGTTGTTGAGCGGTGTTTGGCGACGGAATGGGCGGGTAACGAGTCTGCTGGAGTTGGCTGGCGATCAGGTATCGGCTGGAGGGGAATCGAGGCTGGCAACGGCACACTCACTCTTGGGAGGGTCAGAGGATTTTGGCTCCACGAAAAAGTTCAACCGCTCAGAGCTGGATTGTGTGCTCAATTCGCGTGGCTGACAAGCACTGATTGGCTGTACGGGGGAGAGTGGGCCCATCCAGTTTCCGAAGTTTTCCCGGTCCGTGCCAAGCATGCCCGTCGCGCCTCGGGCGCGCAGCCAACCTCATCCAAACCTTTTTGCCGGCCAGAGCCGCGCAGATTTCTCTGTCCTCTCCAACCATCACAAGCTCGCGCGATGAGCGCGGCATCGTCGTGTAGGCCGCATGCTGTGTGTCATTGTGACATGTGCTCTCGTGTCAATGGTACACGGTGACAGTACACACTATGTGTGCCTTTCGCATGCCCAACTTGTAAGTATTTGCTTTTCTTGCCCTTTCTTCACTCCCATCGCCTTTTATGATGAGCTCTCTGCTTTCTGGCACCTCTTATTTGATTGCTGTTACTACGATCTCTCGATCAACAGCAAAATGCATTTACTTTAAGAACTTCTGACACGACAAATTTTCTCCGGTCTCCTCATTGCACATTAACGAGGGTGAAGCTAACGGTGATACTAGGTACTGATCGCTAGTTGGACTAGAGAAATTATGGGGCTCAGTTGCCGGCTCACACTTGCATTCCGTAATGCAGCAACTAAATCCTACCCGAAGCCCGTTTTCGGTCTCATAGATCTGTTTCTTTTGTCTCTTAGATTATCATTAAACTATTGGATCATCGGTTTCATTCTTTTCCTGAACATAACTGTATATCCTCAGTGTCATACCTTGCAAGATCAATGTTTGACCCTTGGTAGCATCCCAACACACTTCAATGGATTCAATCACGTCTGCATACTGACGTCTGTCTCTGATCTATCTCTACCTCATATCGGCCTTCTCGCAGTAGCCCACTCTATCAACATCTCTAGACTCACGCAGAACGCACCCATGTCACTGAGCAAACCAAGCTGGCTCTCAACCCGAAGCATGATGTTTAACATGTTTATTCGTTTCGTCATAATTCTACTTGGCACAGAGCCTCTGGGCTTCTCGCGTCATTTTTGTCCTAGCCGTCCCCGGTCCTCCCCGGGGTATCATAACTCCTGCTTTTCACCAAACTTGGCACAATTTACATGTTGAGGGCAGTGCGGAAGCTCTCGCCGGCAAAGATGGCGTTGCTGCCGAGCTCCTCCTCGATGCGAAGGATCTGGTTGAGCTTGGCAAGACGCTCAGACCGGGCGGGAGCACCAGTCTTGATCTGGCCGGCGCGGAGACCAACAACAATGTCAGCAATGGTGACATCCTCGGTCTCGCCGGAGCGATGGGAGACCATGACACCCCAGCCATCGGCGTACGAGTCCTTGGCGGCCTGGATGGACTCGGTGAGGGTACCGATCTGGTTGACCTTGAGCAGCAGAGCGTTGGCGGACTTGAGCTCGATGGCCTTCTTGATGCGGAGAGGGTTGGTCACAGTCAGGTCGTCACCAACGATTTGGCAGGTGCTGCCCTGGGTCTTGTAGAAGTAGCTCCAGGCCTCCCAGTCGTCCTCGGCAAAGGGGTCCTCGATGGAGACAATGGGGTACTTCTTGCAGAGGTCGCTGTACATGGCAGCGAGCTCCTCGTAGGTGATCCACTTGCTGGGGTCGCTGTCGGGGTTCTTGAAGTCGAGGTCGTACTTCTTGGCGTCCTCCTTGTAAAACTCGCTGGAGGCGACGTCCATGGCAATGTTGATCTGGCCAGTATAGCCGGCCTCAGCAATGGCATCAGTGATGAGCTCGAGGGCCTCGTCGGCAGTCTGAATATCGGGCGCGACACCACCCTCGTCACCGACGTTGCCGGCAGACTGGCCGTACTTCTTCTTGGCCAGCGACTTGAGCTTGTGGTAGACCTCGGCACCCTGGCGCATGGCCTCGGAGAAGGAAGCGGCCTTGGAAGGGACAATCATGAACTCCTGGAAGGCAAGACGGCCGCCAGCGTGGGAGCCACCGTTGAGGACGTTCATGAAAGGGACGGGCAGGACGTAGGGCTTCTTGGTGCCAGCAAGGTCGGAGACGTGGGCGTAGAGAGGGACGCCCTTCTCGGCGGCACCAGCCTTGGCAATGGCCAAGCTGACACCGAGGATGGCATTGGCACCGAGCTTGCCCTTGTTGGGGGTGCCATCGAGCTCGTTGAGGAAGGCATCGACGGCGCTCTGGTCCTTGACATCAAGGCCCTTCTCGATTACGGCGGGGGCGATGACGTTGTTGACGTTGTCGACAGCCTTGGTGACGCCCTTGCCGAGCCACTTGGACTTGTCGCCGTCACGGAGCTCAACAGCCTCGTGCTGGCCTAGCGATTAGGAAAGTGGTCAGCAGGTTGAATGAAGAAAAGCTATAATACAGACATGTTTCCAGCAGGGGTTTGACATACCGGTCGAGGCACCAGAGGGGACAATGGCACGATGGAGGCCAGTCTCGGTCACGACATCGACCTCGACGGTGGGGTTGCCACGGGAGTCGTAGACGGAGCGAGCGTGGATCTTCTTGACAGCCATGTTGAAGGACGTAAGTGAGGTGAATTCTGTGACAATGGGTAACAGAATGTCAGTCTTTGGTAGAGGGCTGGAAAGTCGGTTGATGGCAGGAGGGGCGTGGGAGCTTCTTATGCAAAAGCTGGCTGACAGACTGGGAGCGGAGGGGGCCCTGAAAGCTGGGAGGCGACGGCTAACACGTAATTGGCCCGTGTGGCTGGTGCTTGGGGGTGTGAGTGGGATATGCCGCAGAGGTGGTGGTAAGGATGGGTGTAACACGATTGTCAAAGTCAACAAACGAGGTGGGCTGGCTGGGCTGGTGGGGTTGCGCCAAGGTAGGTGGGAGCTTTGCCTGCTTAGCTCGAGGAGGTGGTGGTGGCTTGGAGAGGCGCGTTGACAACGACAGGACTCGCAATGGCAGGCTTTGGGACTTACGAGTGCTTTCGCGCTGGTTGGTGCTGTGATGATTCTTCTCAAGTGTCCCAAGGGGAGGATTGGTGAGAAGAAGGTTGACTGATGATGATGGAGTGAAGAAGAAGAGCGGAAAGTCGAGAGGCCGGGTTTAGAAGATATCCTTGGTGCAGCTTGTGTTGCGGAAGCACCTGCAGTCGGCGATGCAGCAATTGCTGTCCACGCCACTGCCTGCTGCCATTGAGGAAGGGAAGGACAAAGGACCCTGACACGGCAAGGGCAGCCTTGCAGCCGAGCAGGGCAGAGCAGGGCAGAGCAGAACAGAGCCAGGCATTTCCCGTTGAATGAAGCTGCAGCAAGTTGCCCCTCTGACGCACCATGCCGCAATTGTGGTGGGGCAGCGAAGCTCAGCGAAGCTCAGCAGCTTTTGGAACGTCGAGGGGTCCCAGCCCTGAGCACTTGAGCAGTGATGAGTCGCTCCGACTCGGTTGCGGGCCTGCCCGATCTCGCCGCGTCCGCAAAGGTAGCCAGCCAAGACCGACAACTCTAATCGCCCGCTTTCAACTCATTTTCACCGTGGCTGGTGAGGCTGCTCCATACAGTTCTGAGGCAGGCGGCTCTTCGTCGGCCCCTCTGGCACGATGGGCGCAAGACCCTTCTCGTTGGTCCAGCTCGGTCGCACATCAAAAACAAGACATTGGAAGGGGACGTTTCATACGGTCGAGCAGCGTCGTGTTTAGGGCGGTATGCCTCACGATACATGATTGCAGCAGCTACGTTGTTGGTTAGCACTGATGCCCTCCCGGTCGAGGGCCCATGGCGGCCCTGCTCATTCTCATCGTCAAGCCGTCCAAGCCTCAATCTTCCGATCCGGACTACAACTATGGGCAAAACCGGGAGGTTCGGCTCTCGCTTGAAGCGGTCGTGAAGCATCTCCTTCTCCATGTGCACCGTGGCCTCGGGTGGTAAACAGCTCTCGAACTAGCAGCACTCGTCGTCGTGTCCATAGAGGCGAGGCTGACAACAATAACGTACACGCCCGCTCGCACGTCCACGCACCCCCACTCTGGAAGCGGCTCCGTATCATGCTCGAAACATACAGGACACACAATTCGTCGACACATCTCCCGCAGCGACGATTTATTATTCCTTGCCCCCATCTGCAACAGCGCTAGCCCAGGTGTATCGTTACTGTTTCGGTGTGTAGCGCAGCGGATTCCCCGTTTCGGCATGCTCAACCCTGTCATGGTTTTTTCCTTCGGGGTCCTCTTTTCATCATGAGCGAGCATATGTCATTGTGCACTGTCATGGTACACTCCTGCCTGCAAATTCTGGGCCGCGCATCGCAGCGAGGCCGACTGTCAATATGTGATTATGACACACGAGGGACTGGGCAGACCAAATAGTATCAGGCCATGCCGTGCTTGGGAGGGTCCGAGGCCAGGGTCCGCAAGGTGCCATGTCATACTGGTTGGTTATCCTTGACGAGCTCTCTGAGCGAATAGCTACTGTCTGAAGTCTGTTACGTTACGCGCTTCGTCACAGTCGTAATGTTGACCACTTTTCATGCTCTTGCTGGGATCAATCGTGGACGCCGGAATCCTGCGAGTTTCTACAGATTATATCGCGATCTTCTAGTGGTAAGGCCTTCAGGAGTTTTGGAGTCACAAGGTCAGACACCTAGGTGCTTATAAAGCAGTAGCAGTATTACATGTGAGGCTGCCTAGGTCTTGCAATTGTTTCGAGTTGGCTAGGTGAGGATATCACACACTGGTGAGCGTGTTCGGCTCGGTATTGAGCTTATTGCAATCGTATATATTCTGAGGTAAAACCATTGCTCGTCATCAAAAAGCTTCGGTAGCTCAGTGGTAGAGCGTGGGATTGCAGCACGGCCTCGGCCAGCATTCCGCAACCATCCTAAAGTCAGGCGTTCGATCCGCCTTCGAAGCTTGATCGTTCTCCACAACGATTATTTTTTTGCGTTCTGTTACGACTTCTCTCCATACTATTTTCACTACCAAACCACCAACTAAGATTTTCCCAGATTTTCCGACTAGAAACTGATCTGTATCTACTGGTGGCCAAGAACGCTATTCACTTTTGCTTTTTGGTCTCGTAGTTCTTCTTTCAGTTTTCTTTCGTTACTCCGAAGCACAACCGTCGAATCGCACTTTGCTTGCGCGATCCAATAATATGTTTCCTCCTTGGATAGTTAATTAATACATGACAACTTACTTCAAGTCCTCCTGCCTACCGTATCTGTTCTAGGTACTTTTTTATTGGCGTTCCCTACGGACCTAGGTAAACGTTAGTGAAAAGCTCACCATGCCAATACACAGCGATAGAATTACCATTACACGCGTTATGATTGAGCAAATTTAGACAATGGTTAGGTCACTCAAATGTTAGCTTTCCCGAGCGCAGCACCAGTTCGCCAGTTATGGCCAAAGTAGGACGAAGACCGCCCTCACTCGTGCTAGGTACTGCGTGAATAGTCTTAAGGTTCAATGATCATGTCTTCATGCGCAATGGTAAACACGTGACTTGATGCTACAGACACCCAGGAAGGGAGAACCATCAGCTTATCTATGCTTAAGTAGTTACTAGAGACTGATGTACAAGGCAACCCAGGCGGGCGTGAAATGCTTGATTGATTGCAATAGGAATCTTGACCTGAAGCTCGTGGCCACACATGACAAATCAATATCTTTTGCTCCTGCCTGAGAGCCTGGGTCAGCCCCTTGTTTTTGTGTCCCACGCCTCTATGAAAGAACTAGCAGCTGCTGTATATGACATGGTGAGGCTCTGATGTCTACCGATAATCCGTCGGCGAGCGAGGGCATACCGCCCCGGTAAGAACGCGCTCCATTGATAACCAATGACAATACCTCACCGGCGTGTCTGATCAAGCACGATTCCCTGCCGCCGAAATTCATTTATCTTAGGACTAGCGTCTCATGTAATTTTTCATAACCCTTTTTCTCATATTTCTCGTCCTGTCCAAACCCCGCACAGGTCGACTAAACATGCGGCCCCTCACCACGGCAGGCATCCTTTGGGTTTTCTTCGACGTTTTAGCTCGTGCTTGCGAAATTTAAACTGAAGGATACACGGGACCGTCCCTGATCGTTGCAATCCTGACATGATAGAATAGTGCCAACAAGCCTTCTCATTCTCTCGGGTATCGATACTTGCAGTCACACCTCCAGACTCAAATACCCTCCTCGAGGAACTACTAAACTGCCTCGATCTACCAGGCTAACAACCCGTGCCATGGACAAATGGTTTGACCTCCCCGCAGTCCCATGTCACGCGCAAAGGCCTCGCTGAGCTCCAGGTCATCCCAGAATACGAGATGGTTCATATGCCATCTATCAAAGTCTCTAAAGGTTTTGTCCCCCCTCATATCAAAGCACAAAGATTCCCTCGCCTTGACTGCCCTCTGCTCCAGGAAAAGCAGACCCCTTTCTCGCAGTAACCTCAATCTCAATCTTCATGACTTCCTCCATGAGCCCACAGCTAATCATGGTCGCCGCTGGTCTGGGCCCCTTTCCTCTCTTCTTCTTCGTTCCCTCCTTATTCATCTTTCCCCCTTCCCCGCCATCGTCGTCGTCATCGCCAAACCACCTTCTCAGCACCGGCCACATGAGCGAAAAGTCCTCGCGTCGCGGTACAATGTACCGCACCCGCACGACCTCGTCCGCCGAGCTGCCCGCCGAGCGCAGGGCCGCGACGACGTTGCGCATCGTCTGCTCGGCCTGGCGGATAGGGTCTGGCGAGATGGCGCCCGTGGCGTAGTCGTATCTTTTAAAAGAGAAAACGGAGGAGGGCGAGGGGGGTTAGAGTCAACGAAACTATTTCGTGGCAAGGATGAAGAGGAGAGGGAATGGTATTCGAGGGGTGACGCTGGGTAGACTAGATCGACACTTTTTGCGCGACGAAAACCAGGAAGAAAGAAAAAAAAAAAAAAAGAGATCTGGGTAGACTATGGAAAACAAAAACTCACCCAGTGCACCCAGACACAAACACCCAGTCCCCCGTCACCACGGCGCGCGAATATCCGATCTGCGCTTCGAATTCGGAACCCGAGCTGACCAGCCGTCTCGTCTTGTCGCCCTCGCCGGCGTCGGCTTTGTTACTGTCCATTGTTTCGGTTGGAATAAGAAGGCGGTTTAATCAACGAGCAAAAGGTCGGATGAAAGAACGACACCTGCGCGGTCCTGCCTGTGTATGTCAAATGGTGTTTGCGGACCTTGCTTTCTATGTCTCTTTCCCTGTCTCTTCACGAGTTGCAGATGCCTGTCGAGAAAAGAAGGTAAAAGGCCGGCATACCGATGCTAGGCTGGCTGTCCACTGACACTTGCATCGTCAAAGAGGGTGAGTCACGCCTAGCTGAATGTCCGTTTATGGCTCCGACATGCCGACATGTTGCTCCACCCGTTCCCCCGCCATCCATCACAACGCCTCAAGCGCTCATTGATGTAATAAAGATATTTTTGAATGTAATGGCTCTCAATCTGCGCTGTTTACAACGGCGGCCTGGCTTGTCGACCTGCCGCGGTGTGGGCATAGTGTACATGAAACAGGAAAAGAAAAATGCTGCTCGCTCAACTCCCTCTGTACGCTGTCTGGCTTCCGTGAGATAGGGACCACCTCCAGCACACACCCCATAATCGCTTCTCCAGTCTAATAGTTCAGCTCGCCGGATCCTCCCCCGGCCACATGGTCTAGATCTTCATAGCTCTTCAGGCTGCGGCCTTGGACGGCTTCGCGAGGTCCAACCGCAGCGCCGCCGGCAGCTCCATCTCCCCAGCGCCCGGCACCACCTCGGCCCCGGCCGGCTCCTGGGCCGTCGGCGGTATAGCGACTCTGCTGTCCTTGCCGCCGGTCGTACGGTCCGCTCCTATTGTTCTGATACCGGACTCCGGCGCCCCCCGCTCCACCTCGCCGGACTGGGCCCCCGCTCCGATCGACACCACCTGCATTCCAGCCTGCTGCTTGCATTGCCGCAGCACCACCGGCAAACATGGGAGGCATGCCCCCAAAGCCAGGGAATCCGGGAAACTGCGGCATTAGGTTGTTCATAGAGAAGTTGTGGAGATTGAACCCTCTTGGCGTGCCCTGCTGTGTCTGGCCACCAGCCGGAGGGAAGTGGCCATTGCTATTCGCGTCGGTCCGCGAAGGTGCGATATGGGACGGGTCCAAAACGTAGGCATTAATAAGATCAAACTGTAAAAAACCTGTTAGTCGATCTAGTAGTTTTCATGTGCAGCGCGGGCGTGACTTACCTCCTGCTTCAGCGTCTCAAGCCAGTCACCGTGGCGCTTCTCCACATGCTTCTTCCAGAAGTGCTCCTCCTTGAAGAGCTTGGCGCATTCTGGGACCTTGCATCGCCACTTGTGCTCATCTTCCTGCTTCACAAATTTGTTGAGCTCTTCCGCGACTGCCTCTTCTACCGGCTTGCCGCCGAGCTTGCGAAGGTCTACCGTCTCCGGCTCCAGGATCTGCATGATCTTGTCCTCAAATGTCTTGACCCATTTGTACGCGCGCTCGAGCTGCTGCTCAGACTTGGATGACTGGCTGCGGAACTTTCGATCCGGCTCCGGCGCCTCGCCCTCGTCCTCTCCCTCTTCACGCTTCTTCGCGGGGAACGGCTCGCCATTGGCACTTGCGCGAGCAACGCCCTTAGCAGCAGTCGAGAGCGTGCTTCGGGGCCGGCGAAGGTGGCCTCCGGGACACTTGCGTGTCAGCTCGTGGATCGAATCGCACTCAAAAACACAGAAGAAGCAGAAGTTGAAGACCCGACGGAGGTATTCGGTGGCGAGGTCGAGCTGCTTCTTCTTCACAACAAGATCTTCATCGTCGACCTCTTCATCATCGATCGCGCCCTCCTCCTCGTCCGAGTCACCCATTTCGCCCTCGTCCATGGCGTCATCGAAATCGAGATTCCTCTCCTTCTTGACCTTCTTGGCTACAGGCGCGGGCCCGACTGGCTTGAGCTGGCCTGCACTCCGCAAGTTCTCGACCCGTTCCTCAATCCTGAGCACAGCATTGAAGTCCGAACCGTAGTCTTCTTCAAATTTGTTGATCAGGCGCTGCACGAGTCCTAGGTCTTTCTCAATCCGTTCTGGAGCAGAGAATAGGTCCCAAAGAGCCTTCTTGCGGGGGTTGGTCGGCGGATTGTGGACGCCCACATGACACACGAAATCACCGCGGACCTCGTCCTTGACAGTCTTGCCGTTGATGGCTTCGAGGCCCTTCTCAGCTGTGCTGATCGGCTTGGGCGACTTTGGCTCATCGTCCATGTCCTCGTCCTTAGGATCGGCTCGCTCAACTGGCGCGGCCGAGTCCGCAGAAGGATGCAGCATGACCCAGCCCATCCGGTGATATCTTTTGCTGGGGTTCGGATCGCTCAATGACAGCCACTTGAAGCCGCCTTCTTCCTCCCCGAGGTTCTCCTTGCAGAATGTCTCGAGATTCTGGCGGCTCACATGTGGCGCGATTGTCTTGATCAGCAGCGTGGGCTGGTACAGATTCTCGTCTCGCAGGTCGTTTCCAGATGCTGAGACCAGGTCGCCCACACCCAAAACCTCATTGGCGGCGGTAGCCTCTCCTTCTTCTTTCTCAACCACACCGCCTGCACCGTTACTCTCGCTTTTCGGGAGCCCTTCGAGCGAGAAGTCATCAAAGGTGCCGGACTCGAGTTCCTGCTCCCACTGATTGTATCCGCCTCGGCGGAAGTCGCTGATCTGTGTGTTCAGGGCATCTCGGACTTCGGACACGTAGCGCTCACGGAACCACTGCTCTTTCTTGTGCTCGGCAACAAACGCACGGGCCATTTTGGCCTGGAGCTCCTCCTTGTAGGAATCATAGGCGGCTTGGATCTTGGCCTTCTCCTTGTCGCGCTCCTCTTGCGACTCTCGAGTTCCGCGAGGACGTTCCGGCTCGCG